GGGGGGGGGGGGGCATCGCACACCCTGTCTGCCCGCAGTTGTAGCACGCGCGGTCGCCGCCGCCGTAGCCCCCTCCCCCGCCGCCGCGCCGCGGCTCCGGGCAGTCCCTCGACAGGTGCCCAACCTGGCCGCAGTTGTAGCACTCCCTTCCTCCCCCTCCGCCGCCCCCCCGCCCGCCAAACGACCCGTATGCCTCGTCGTCGCGGCCGCCGCCGCCGCCGCCGCCGCGGTCGCGGTCGCCGCCGCCGCCGCCGCGGCGCGGCTCCGGGCAATCCCTCGACAGATGCCCGATCTGGCCGCAGTTGTAGCACTCCCTTCCTGCCCCTCCGCCGCCCCCCCGCCCGCCAAACGACCCGTATGCCTCGTCGTCGCGGCCGCCTGGAAGGGGGGGGAGGCGCGGGGGATGAGGAGTGGGGCGCAGGGTCAATGTTGGCGAGGCAAGAGGAGAGGGTGCGGAAGGAGAGGGTGCGGAGGAGCGTGTCCGCTCGGGGGGCGTCCGCTCGGGGGGAGCTCAACCAGCCTCTCTCTCTCCCTCCCTCCCTCTCTCCTTCCCTCCCTCCCTCCCTCCCTCCCTCTCTCTCGCTCCCTCTCTCTCTCTCTCTCTATCCCAGCTACAGCGCGCCGCTCTGCCGCTCTCTCTCGGCTGTCTCTCGGCTGTCTCTCGGCTCTCTCTCGGCTGTCTCTCGGCTGTCTCTCGGCTGTCTCTCGGCTGTCTCTCGGCTGTCTCTCGGCTGTCTCTCGGCTGTCTCTCGGCTGTCTCTCGGCTATCTCTCGGCTACAGCGCGCCGCTCTGCCGCTCTCCGCGGTTCCGGCGCGGCCCCGCGTCGATCGGGGGAGCTCCTACGGACATGTGTCGGACATGTCGTGGACGTGTCCTGGACATGGCATGCCGTCGTCGACCGCGGGCTCGCCGTCGGCAAACTCGACCTGCGGGGCGGGAGGGGCGGCGGGTGGGGTGGTGGCGGGTGAGGTGGTGGCGGGTGAGGGGTGGTGGGTGAGGTGGTGGAGGTGAGGAGGGCGGCGAGGGAGGGGAAAGAGGAGGCGAGGCAAGGGGTGGCGAGGGTGTGGCGGCGGGAGGGGAGTGGGCTGAGGAGAGGGGATCGGCCCGCTTGGGAAGGAGAGGGTGTGGCGGCGGCGCCCTTCACCTTTGCCGACTCCACCATCCGCTCGCGCAGCTGCTTGACCTCGGCGGACTCCTCCACGCCATCCGTCTTGACGGCGGCCTCGGGGTCGAGCATGCCCTTGAGGGCGCGCTGCACGTCGTCCACCCACGCCTCCCCCTGCGTCGCGTTCCGCACCGCCACCTCCACCGCGCGGCCAGTCATCGAGCCGAGCTTTGAGCCGTTTAGCTTTGAACCCTCGAAGATCTTTGCAATCTTGGCCTCGCGGTCGGTGCGAATGAAAGCCGGCGTCGCGCGCAGCTTGCCGTCGGCCACGAGGGCGTCGCAGACGGCGGAGGCGAGCGCGGCGGCGTCCCAGGAAGCATCAATCGCCATGGTGATATGTCTGTCTCGTGGTCGAATGAAGAAAAACAGTGAAAAAAACAGCGAGTAACGGATTTTGGCCCATGCGCGTGCTCTTCCGCTTGCTCGCCGCGCGCTCGGGAGCCGGAGTGGCGAGCGCGGCGCTCGCGGCGGCGGGCGGGGCAGCTCCAATTGTTGGCGAGGCTCAACAGCAGCTTCAAGCAGTGCAGCGCAACGCCAGCTACCTCTCCAGAGCTGCGCGGCGGCTGGCGGGCCTGTGTGAAGATGCCGGGCCGCGTGCTCGGAGCGCGCAGTCGGCCCGCCTGCCAGCGGCCGAGTCAGTCTGGCTGGCGATAAGCGCCAAGGCCTTCCCTGCATTCTGGGCGACGCCCACCGCCACTGGAACGGTTACAGGGTCGTGGGGCCGCCCCAGCGGCTCCGCACCAGGCGTTTGGGCCGCGAGGGCCGCCACCGTACCCGCCGCCCCTGCCACCGCCTCCACCCCCGCCGCCGACGGGGCCGCCACCGTATGGACCCGCTCGGAATAACCTGGGGGACCCGGGACCGCCCCGCCGGAGGCTGGTGTACCCGGGAGGAGGAGATGGGGGAGGGGAATTACCGCGGTACGAGAGCGGACCCGCCGGCGGACCGGAAAGCCGAGGCCGGAGGGCCCCGGGGGGGGCTTGGGGTCAGTTGTCGGAGGAGGCGAGAGATGAGCTAACGCGGCCTCTGAGAGTGGAGTCGGGACGGACGGGCTCACCGGGGGAAGACCAGTTGCAGAGGCAGCCGGTCCACCGCGACCTTCGACGGGGAGGGCCACGCCTCCCCGAGCCTGGAGAGGAGCCGGCGGAGGGGGGAGGCGAGCCAGGGACGATAGAGAGGCCGCGAGTGCGGGCACGACTCGCCGACCAGGGAGAGCGGGCTCGACCTCCCTGGGAGGGGAGGCGACACGACCCAAGGCCGCAGTCCTCGCCCAGGGGGTCGGGAGCGGGGCCGTCGGAGGCGGAGTCAGCGGGATCAGGGGAGGCCCCACCCGGGCTGTCGGCTCCCTCGGGGCCAATGGGGCTAGCCGACGGAGGTGGGGCGGAGGGGCCGCCTCCGAAGAAGAGACATCAAAAACGTCTGCAGAGGCAGTGGGGCGACGCCCGAAAAGCGAGCAAGAGACCGAACCAGACTGGAGATTCACCCTGAAGGGTGGGGGACGAGGACGTGCAGTGTACACGTTAGACAGTCGTGTATGTACGTGACGCGTGGTGTCGTAGTGTCCGTGTCCACTAGCTCCGAGTAGAGGGGGCGTTCTGCAGTTAAGGGGAAACCCGGTACACGGAGCCCTCTCGGAGACCTGTGTTTACTTTAAGGCCCTTGCCCTGCGAATGCGCGCCCCCCCCTAGCTAGGGGTCAGGGCTCTCTAGCCCGTAGCCCGATGCCGATCATCCGGCCCGCTGGATGCGCTTCTCAGCTCACCGGCCCTGGATGTGAGGTTGCCGACTGCACACTCCAAGTGCTCCAAGTGCACCGCGTGTGTCGGTGTGTCGCCAGTCCGAGCCTGGCTGTTCTTCACCTTTCTACCTACCTACCTGTGTGTCCCCGCTGGCCTGCAACATTCCCTCCCACGCCCTCTTGCCCGCACCGACGCTCTTGTCCCAAGCGGCCGAAGCGCGCCGAGAGACGCAGACCCCCCCCCCCCCCCCCCCCGCACCCCACCCCCACCGCCGCTGTGCGTCGTGCTCCGCAGCCGCAGGGTCTGTTGCTCTCTGCCGTGCTCGCGCGGCGGTCCCGCAGGAACCCGCGCCCTTGCCGCCCGGCCGGGGCTGGAGAGGCTCAGCGCAGCTCGATGCCGCGCTCCTCGCACACGGCCACCAGCTTGCGCGGCTTGTTGCCCACGCTGAGCACCTGCACGCGAGGGGAGGTGCGATGAGCATTGGGCGGGGGAGGGGCGAGGGGCGAGGGGGGCGCGTCTCGCGCCTTCAGGCTCGGGGCGGCCCCCTCCTTGAGGGCGGCGGCCAGCGCCTTGCAGCCCTTGTCGCCAATCTTGTTGCCGTTGAGATTGAGCCACTCGAGCCGCGGCGCTGCCCCCTCCTTGCCGAGGGCGGCGGCCAGCGCCTTGCAGCCCTCGTCGCCAATCTTGTTGCCGAAGAGATTGAGTGTCTCGAGTCGCGGCGCTGCCCCGCTCGCGAGGACCTCCGCCAGCTGCGCCGCCTCCGCGTCGCCCCAGCCGAGGCTACCGTAGAGCAGCACGGTCGCCTTTCCAAACTGCTCCTCGAAGGCGGCCTCGTACAGCCGCTTCACCAGCGGCTTGTCGTCCTTGCCGTTGGTGAAGCTCTTCGTCTCCAGCTCCGCCGCGAACGCAGACGGCAGCAGCGGAGGGCGCCGGCCGCCCTCCTGGGTGCAGTCGGCTCGGAGGCTGCCGTAGCGGTACTCCACGCCGGCGCGCATCTTGCCGAGGTCGAGCGAGAGGTCGTAGGCCTTGGTGAGGCTGGCCCAGGCGTTCTCCGTGGCGCACCAGCCGCGGTCAAAGTACTTGGCCACGTTGGTGCCCTCGGCCTGCTCCTCCGCCTTGTGGCCGTCCGGGAAGGAGGTCAGCCGCAGCACCCAAGTCTTCGGGTGGGAGTAGAGCGTGCCGAGGCAGCCCAGTCCCTGCTTGAAGAGCGCGTTCTGCTCCTCGGTGCGCAGGACGCCGTTGGGGGGGTCAGGGTGCTGGTGCAGCGAGCCGAAGTCCCAAAAGACGCCGAGCCGTGGGATGCTAGAATAACTGAGCAGGACCTTGAGCGCCCTTGCGACGCGGGCGAGGTTTGCTCCGCGCGGGTCGGGGTGGTCCTTGGTCAGCCACGGGTAGGAGAGCGCTCCGACGGGAAGCCAACCCGCATGCTTGTTGGTCGCCTCGACGAGATCGGCGAAAGAGAGGAAGGCCTCTTTGGGCAGCGCCTGGCGGTGGTTGAGGACGCCCCCCGCCTCGGCGTGGCTGATGATCCACTGCGCGTCGAGGAGGGCGACGGCGCCGCTCGCGAGGACCGGCTCGAGGTCGCCACCGCCGCGCTTGCGCCACAGTTCCAGCTTCTCCTCGCTCACGCCGAGATCGGTGGCGGAGGGGAGGGCGGCGGCCGACTGCGTCGGCGCGGCGGTGTCGGCGGGCGTCGGGGCGTCGAGTTCGACGGCGGGAGGGCCGGGCAGCTCCTCGGTCGGGGCCTCGACGCGGCTGGAGAAGCAGCCCATCGTGAGAAGTCGATCGACTTTGCAGCAAGGACACAGGTGGAAAAGAATTTTACCAGGCGTACGCCTCTGATCAAACAGCGCCTGAACGCATGGCGTTCAGGCGGCACTTCTCTCGCGTCGGCTCCGCCGAGCGCTGCACAGAGACCATCTTCACTGACCACCAACGACAGGTGTAAGGAGGTGATTTGGAGTACTACAGTACAGGTACACAGTATTTGCAGTAGACACCCTCTAATGTGAATGTGTATGTGTGTGATGTGTGTGTAGTGTGAATTAGGTGCGCTGCCGCTTGGCGGCAGTCGCCTCCGCATACGCGGCCTCGAGCTTGCGGCTCAGCTCGCTCTCCCGCCTCGACTGAGGCTTGCGTCTTTCGGTGCAGCGCCGCCTGGGTCTCCCCCTCGACGTGGCCTGCCAGGCCGCGGCGGCGGGCAAGAAGACTCGGAATGGGAAGACCCACGACGAGTATGGCGACGCTGCTGTCAACGTACCGCAGCAGGGCCACAACACCAGACACAAGTACACGCTTCGACGCCTCATCCTCGCCCTACGCGCCGCGTGGGGCACCGCTGTGCGAATGGAGCCGAAAGCCCACCTCGGTCAGAGTTACAACAAACAACCCGACGTGGACGCGGACAACATTGGCAAGGACGGCACGCACTATTGCGGAGACGTCAAGGTCGTCTGTTCCCTCAGCAGCAGCGGGGAGCACGGTCGGAAGTCCCGTGCCCAGTGTTGTGCGAGCGAGTTTTGTTGTAAAATTCTTTCCCCCCGCGTGCCCCCGCAACCCGCAATAAAACCACCCCGGGGCCAAACCGCTTCGGTTTCGTCGCCAAGAGTGTACTCTTGGGCCCCGAACCCGAATAAAAAAACGTGTGCCCCCCTTCGAGTGTATCTCGAGTGTTGCTATGGAGCGTCCGTTTCAACACGCGCTCGCGCGCTTGCGTCTGCTGGCCCCCAGAGAACATGTTGCACCACAAGCTCCCGGCGGAGCCCAACTGCTCGCACTCGACAAGGCAGTCCATCCACTCGCGGCAGCTGAAGTCGAACTTCCACTCGATGCGGCTCGCGCCGGGTTGTGAGCTCGGCGAGCGAGGTCGGAGAGCGACCTCAGTTGGCCCAAGCCGCACGCCACTGAGGCAGAGCGGCCGTGCGCGTACGACGCCGTACGCGCACGGCCACTCTGCACCGACCGCAGCGCTGCATTGCGACCGCAGAGGCTCAGCTCAGCCAGGGCTCGCTCGCCCGAGCTCGGAGCCGCCGGCGGTCATGGGCAGCAACAAAGGTTTGACGCGTCGCTCGGTGCAGGAGGGCACTGCAGTAGAGGTGCAGAGGCCGTCCGGCACGCGCGCGATGGGCTACGGCTTCATTGGCAGCTACCAGAGCGCGTCTGGAGCGTTGCCATTGTGTGACCCACGTCCAAGCGGCGCTTCCGGCCTGTTCCGCGCCTCTTTTTACGCTTTTCATTGGAGAGGGGGGGACGAGGTCTCATCAACTTCGAAACCGCCTTTGAAAGGGGGGAAAAGCGTCCGTCCCTGAGCGGGTTGAGGCGGGGGTGGTTTCACTGCGCTCTCGTTTCCTTGGAAATCCGTATCTTCAATCCAGCCCGGCACGAAAAACGACTCTGCTCAACGACACCAGTGCGCAGCGTGGAGATCGCAACAGAGCGAGCGGCTCGGTCAGCCCCACGGCAGGTAAAGGACGGGCTCGAGCCTCGAGGGGGTCGGGGAGTGGGTGTGTATGATGGGGATGTGTCTCTGAGGTCGCGCCCCTCCCTCCCGAAAGAGCGCCCGCGGGGGGGCGGGGGAGCGCGGCCGGGCCCTCGCCGAGGGAGCTAGCGGAACGGGCGACACCAGCGCAAACGCAAGCGGCGGCTGTCAAGATGCAGCGGGCGAGGCGGACGACGCCGCCCTCTGGCACCGACCCGTGGCGCCGCCCCTCTAGCGCCGCCAGGAGCGCTCTGGGTCGCCTTTGCCCTCGTCGCGGCGCGGCGGCGGACCGTCGCGGCGCGGCGGCGGCCGGTCGCGGTCGTCGAAGCCACGGCGAGGCGGCGGGCCGTCGCCTTTGCCGCCCGCGGGGCGGCCGTCCTCGAAGCCGCGGCGGGGAGGGCCGCGCTCGTCGAACCCGCCGCGCTGCGGGGGGCCGCGGTCGCCTCCTCCAAATCCGCCCCGCTGCGGCGGCCCGCGCTCGTCGCCAAAGTCGCGGCGAGGCGGGCCGCGGTCGTCGCCTGGAGAGGGAAGGGGGCGAGCGCGGGCGGGGTGAGGCGCGGTGGGGGCGGAGACGCGGCGGCGGAGGGGGCGGAGACGCGGCGGCGGAGGGGGCGGAGACGCGGCGGCGGAGAAGGGGTCGAGACGCGGAGAAGGGGGGGTTCCCCCGCGCGCACCAAAGTCGCGGCGAGGCGGGCCGCGGTCCTCGAAGCCGCGGCGGGGAGGGCCGCGCTCGTCGAACCCGCCGCGCTGCGGCGGGCCGCGGTCGCCTCCTCCAAACCCGCCCCGCTGCGGCGGGCCGCGCTCGTCGCCGCCACGGCGCATCTCCCCAAAGTCGCGCCCGGGCGGGCCATCACGGCGCGGCGGAGGGCCTTCGCGCGGCGGGCCGCGGTCGCGCGGGTCGGAGGTCCACCTGCAGAGGGAGGCTCCCGACACGCTTCGTGCGGGGGGGCGCCGCTTCACGGTGCGGGTGTCTGGCCGCTCTCTCCACCTGTCGCCGCCGCGCGACGGCGGGCCATCGGCGGGCCGCCCTCCCAGAGGATGCCGCTCCCACCCCTCGCCGTCGGGGTTCGGGGGGCGGTCGCGCCGCTCAAACGGCCGCGGCCGCGCGTCGCCGCCGGGGGGGGCGCGCTCCTCCGGCTTCGGCTTGGCCTCGAACTTGTCGCCGCCGAGCGCCTGTTCGCAGCTGCACGTGTGAAGAGACGCTGTTCACAGCTCCGGCTTGTCGCCGCCGACCGCCTTGGCCATCTGCAGGTCGGGGAGCTCCTCGTCGTCGTCGTCCGCCGCCCACGACTTGCCGACCTGCCATGTCGCAAGCCACGTCGTGGAGTCATGGTCTCTTGAGGTGTGAGTGGGCGCCCACTTGCCGGCCTGCTCGCGCGCGGCCAGCCGTGCGAGGGCTTCCTTCTCCTCCAGCTCCTTCTCGCGCGCCTGCGAGACCGCACGCCGAAGACATGTCGCGGGCACCTCCCACAACGCGTCTCTCTCTCTCCCCGCCCCCTCCTCTCTCGCGCTCCTTTTGGCGCTCGAGCACCCGCTTCCGCTCCTCCTCCGCCTCCTGCTTCTTGCGGGCAGCCTCCTGCGCCTCTTGGATCCGGCGCGCCTGACGGACGCGTCGCGGCACACGTCGTGGACGCGTCCCAAGACAGCGCTGCCGCGCCGGGCGAGCAGCTGCGGCGCGCCTCCTCCTCCTCCGCCTCACGCCGCGCCTGCTCGATCGCCGCCTCGCGCTCTCTCTCCTCCGCCGCAACCCGCTCCCGCTCCATCCGCGCCGCCTCGCGCCTAGAGAGTCCTCCGGCGAGATGGTGTCGAGAGGAGCCGAGAGTGGTCGCACCCGCCGCGCCGCCTCGCGCCGCTCGGACTGCTCGACGCGCCACGCGGCGACCACTGCCTCGTGCGCCACGGCGCGCGTGGCGAGGACGCGCTTTGTGAAGGCGTCGGCGGCGGCCGCCATGCGGGAGAAGCGCGCCTTCTGCTGCAGGTCGTGCGCGCGCGACTCCTTCATCTTCAGCGCGAGCGACGCGGCGTTCGCCTCGTGCAGCTTCTTATCCTCCGCCTGCTGCGCCTGCCAGCGCAGCTCGAGCAGGTCGCGCTCCCCCTCGCGCCGCGCGCGCTCGAGGTGGTCGTGCCGCTTGCCCATGGACTCGAGCCGCTTCTCGAACTCCTGCCGCTCGTCCATCAGCAGCATCTTTTGCTCGCGCATCAGCTCGCTGCGGTCCTTCTCGGCGAGCTTATCCACGTCTGTCTCCACCTGTTCACAGCTAGAGGTGTGAATAGACGCCGTTCACACCATACGTGGCGAGCTTGTCGACGTCCGTCTCCACCTTGCCTCCGCCCTCGCCCCACCCCTTCTTCTTGGCAACCTTCATCGTCTTGCGCTGCTCCGCCATCTGCTCGGCCAGCTTCCGCCGCTCCGCCGCCTCAGCCTCCTCGCGCGTCCGGTGCTCGCGCTCCGCGTCGCGCCGCTCCGCGTCTGCCTGCAGCCGCGCCTTCTCCTCCTCCTCCTCGGCGCGCTGGCGCTGCGCCTTGAGCCGGCTCTTCTCCTTGTCCTCCTCCATGGCGAGCCGCTCCTGCTCCTCCTTGCGCCGCTCGATGACCAGCCGCCGCGCGAGGACCTTTTGGTGCTCCTCTTCCAGGCTCTTGCCGATCGCCTCTTGCAGCCGCGCCCGCGTCTCGGCGGCGTGCTTCTCGAGATCCGCCGACCGCAAGTGCTGGTTGACGGCGTCGAGGGCGGAGGCGAAGCCGGCGAGCGACTCGCGCACCTCGGACGGGGCGGCGGGAGTTGATTAATACTCAGCTCATCAATAATCAATCACCAATCCATCGCGCACCTCGGACGAGGCGGCGGCGTCGGCCTTGTTGCGCTGCTGGTTGAGCTGCCCGAGCTTGTAGTCGATGCGGAGCGAGACGAGGTCCTAATTAATTAATAATTAATCATGAATACTCATGATTCAGCTTGTAATCGATGCGGAGCGAGACGAGGTCCTTCTTGACCGCCCACACGAGCAGCGCCTCGATCTGCGGCCACTGCAGCACCGTGATCGCGTCCGCCGCCTTGTCGATCGAGATTGTCAGGTAGAGCCGCTCCATCTGCTGCAGCATCCGCAGCGCGACCAGCCGGCGGAGCGGCAAGTCGTACTGGCCGCACGCGTCCGACGCGGCCAGCTTGGCGAGCACGGGCGCCGCGGCGGCGGCCAGATCGAGCGGCACCTGCTTCCGCTCGACGAGCGCGTGCAGCTCGCGCACCTCGGGCGCCGCGGCCTCGAGCAGCCCGCTGGCGACCACCTCCGCGAGGAGGGTGGCGCGCGAGGCGGTGGAGGGGAAGGAGAGCATCTGCGCCATCCGCTTTGTCTTCTCGTGCTCGAGGTCGTACTCCAGCAAGTTGAGGTCGAGGACGGGGGACGAGGGCGGCACCGACAGCGCCGCCAGCACCGCGCGCGACGCGAGCGCCGTCAGCTCCGCCTCGGACGGCGCCGCCTTCAGCGACTTAGCGGTGGCGTACGAGCGCGTGAGCGAGTAGGCGTGGAAGAGGCCGTTGCCCGCCACCCAGAAGACCTGCGCGAGCTGCGCGTGATACGAGGCCATCGACGAGGGCTTGGGCGGCTTCTTCATGAGCAGCGTGAGCGCGTGAACGTCCTCGACAGTGCGGTACGCCTCCTGCCACAGCTCCATCTCGACGGCGGTCGCCAGCTGGCCGAAGCGTGTCTCGAGGTGCACCTGCGGCGGCGGCGGCTCCACACCACTCACTGCGCCGTGGACAAGTCACTGACCCATGGGCAAGTCACTGCGCCGTGGACAAGTCACTGCGCCGTGGACAAGTCACTGCGCCGTGGACAAGTCACTGCGCCGGCCGCTGTGCTGTGTGTCATGGGCGAGTCACTGCGCCGGCCGCTGTGCTGTGTGTCATGGGCGAGTCACTGCGCCGGCCGCTGTGCTGTGTGTCATGGGCGAGTCACTGCGCCGGCCGCTGTGCTGTGTGTCATGGGCGAGTCACTGCGCCGGCCGCTGTGCTGTGCGGCCTCGAGGAGCGCGCCTGCAGCGCCTCTGGCGTCGGCGGCTCGCGGTCCTTCCACTTCGGGTCCACCTTAGTCTGGGAGTGGATGTGGTTGCGGAGGATCTCGCACAGGCGGCGGAACTCGACGGCGCGCTTGTAGGTCTTGCAAAACTCGAAGGCCTGTGAGGCTCCTCGCAGGCGGTGGCGGTGAGGGGAGGGGGGGGGGGGGTGCGAGGCAACGGGGAAAATCCCCACCCCCCCGCGCCGGGCAAATGGG